CGGGCGCGAGGCGGCACGAGAGCGCGATCTCGCGCTTGGGCGGCAGCGCCTGCCGCAGGATCTCGGCGGTGCGCCGGTGGAGGAAGGGCTGCACAAGGTCGTGCAGCACGGCCATCCGCTGCCGCGAGAGCCGCACGTCGGCCGCCGAGGCGTCGAGCGTGTTGCCGTTGGTGATCGGCGCGACGAAGCGGTTGCGGAACTCGGCCACCGAGCCGAGCAGCGCGGGCCGCACGAAATCGACCATCGCGTGGTACTCGTTCAGGTTGTTCTGCAGCGGCGTGCCCGTGAGGATGACGCGCCTCGGGGATGACGCGCCTCGGGCTCGGCGAGCAGCTCGGCCGACGGGCGCGGCGCCTCGTCCCGCAGCGACCACAGCTCGGAGAGCTCGGCCTGCGAGAAGGAGGTGGCGATCTGCTCGTCGTCGTGAAAGAGGTGTGTGTGATGAGATATTTGATGAATACAGGTGCAGAGGCAGAGAGGGTGCGGGAGAGGTGGGTGGTGACGTGGCACCACTCCCGGGGTGGAACTAGCTCAATTAAATCTGAGGCGGCGGTGGGCGGGTGCTCCTGCCTCCCTCTCGGGGACAAGCTCAAATCTCAGCGAGATTCTCCGAGATATGTCCGAGTTTACTGTACGTGCAGGTGCGGGTGCAGAGAGGGTGTGGGAGAGGCGCGTGAGATGAGAAATGGAATACTTTGGCCGGGAGTGGCCGGGGAGGGCCGGGATCGGCCGAGATCGGCCGGATACCGCCGTGAGGGACAGAGATTACCCGAGATATACCCGAGATGGTCCGAGAATACGTGTTTACAGCCGAGTTACAGGGCAGAAGCAGAGGCAGCGGGAGAGGGCGAGATGGGAGGAGGGCGGGAGGAGCGGCGCGGGGCGGAGTGGCGCGGCGGCGAGGCGGCGTGGGCGGTGGCGTGGTGCGGCGGCGGGGAGAGAGGCGACGGGCGTCAACTAAATAATCTCTACTGGTGACAGACTACTGGGTGGGGTGGCGTGGTGGTGGTGTGAGGTGAGATGTCCGATTGGATAAGGTGGAGGTGGAGGGCTGTGGCGCCTCGTTACGGCGGCGCGTCCCGCGCCGCGGCGGCGACGGCAGCACGGCGCCCGCCGCGCGGCTGCTGCTGCCGCGAGCGTGACCAGCCTCCACGAGCAGCCGACGGCGAGATGCCTGCTCGAAGGACGAGCGGGTTCAACGTCGTGTGGCCAGAGCGTGGAGAGGGGCGGGAGACGGTTGCGGAGCGGGCGGGTACCTAGGATCGAAGAGGTGGCTACTGTGCGAGAGCGCGTGCGGACAAGAAGCGTGACCGAGCGAGCGGTGCACCCGCAAGATCCGTCGGCGCAGCAGCCTCGCGCGGCTCCGTCGACGGAGCGACCATGAACTACATCATATGAGCCTGCAGGCGTCGTGGCAGAGGGCCCCAGTTAGTTGGCGAGGAGCGGCTAGCGTTCACGGCGAGCCGCTCACCGATACGCTCACCCGTTCGCCCTGCAACAAAACTCGGCGCCGCACAAACAAATTCGGCGCGCCATGCCCTATCTCACTCCAACCACCCTCTCGGTGCTATATAGGCGCCTATAGGCGCCTATAGGCGCCTCTGGAGCTAGGCGCCCTCTAGATGCCTAAAATCGCGTGTAGGCGCCTATAGGGCGCCTATAAGGCGCCCGCCGGAGCAAAAGAGTAGGAAAATTCAACGGCCGAAGCTGCTAGGTCTTATTAGATGGACTACTTGGGCGACGTACGTCCCCAATCGCCCGCCTAGCACCGACGGGCTAGTCGAAGCGCAAATCAAGCCACGATTCGAAAGCACGTCAGGAGCCTGCGCCGCGAAGCACGAGCGTGTTGCCGTTGGTGATCGGCGCGACGAAGCGGTTGCGGAACTCGGGCACCGAGCCGAGCAGCGCGGGCCGCACGAAGTCGACCATCGCGTGGTACTCGTTCAGGTTGTTCTGCAGCGGCGTGCCCGTGAGGATGACGCGCCTCGGGGAGTACGTGCAGGTGCGGGTGCAGAGAGGGTGTGGGAGAGGCGCGTGAGATGAGAAATGGAATACTTTGGCCGGGAGTGGCCGGGGAGGGCCGGGATCGGCCGAGATCGGCCGGATACCGCCGTGAGGGACAGAGATTACCCGAGATATACCCGAGATGGTCCGAGAATACGTGTTTACAGCCGAGTTACAGGGCAGAAGCAGAGGCAGCGGGAGAGGGCGAGATGGGAGGAGGGCGGGAGGAGCGGCGCGGGGCGGAGTGGCGCGGCGGCGAGGCGGCGTGGGCGGTGGCGTGGTGCGGCGGCGGGGAGAGAGGCGACGGGCGTCAACTAAATAATCTCTACTGGTGACAGACTACTGGGTGGGGTGGCGTGGTGGTGGTGTGAGGTGAGATGTCCGATTGGATAAGGTGGAGGTGGAGGGCTGTGGCGCCTCGTTACGGCGGCGCGTCCCGCGCCGCGGCGGCGACGGCAGCACGGCGCCCGCCGCGCGGCTGCTGCTGCCGCGAGCGTGACCAGCCTCCACGAGCAGCCGACGGCGAGATGCCTGCTCGAAGGACGAGCGGGTTCAACGTCGTGTGGCCAGAGCGTGGAGAGGGGCGGGAGACGGTTGCGGAGCGGGCGGGTACCTAGGATCGAAGAGGTGGCTACTGTGCGAGAGCGCGTGCGGACAAGAAGCGTGACCGAGCGAGCGGTGCACCCGCAAGATCCGTCGGCGCAGCAGCCTCGCGCGGCTCCGTCGACGGAGCGACCATGAACTACATCATATGAGCCTGCAGGCGTCGTGGCAGAGGGCCCCAGTTAGTTGGCGAGGAGCGGCTAGCGTTCACGGCGAGCCGCTCACCGATACGCTCACCCGTTCGCCCTGCAACAAAACTCGGCGCCGCACAAACAAATTCGGCGCGCCATGCCCTATCTCACTCCAACCACCCTCTCGGTGCTATATAGGCGCCTATAGGCGCCTATAGGCGCCTCTGGAGCTAGGCGCCCTCTAGATGCCTAAAATCGCGTGTAGGCGCCTATAGGGCGCCTATAAGGCGCCCGCCGGAGCAAAAGAGTAGGAAAATTCAACGGCCGAAGCTGCTAGGTCTTATTAGATGGACTACTTGGGCGACGTACGTCCCCAATCGCCCGCCTAGCACCGACGGGCTAGTCGAAGCGCAAATCAAGCCACGATTCGAAAGCACGTCAGGAGCCTGCGCCGCGAAGCAGCGTCGGCTCTGCAATGCAGCCGCAGTAGACCTTACGGCCCCCTCTATATATCCCGGGAAGCGTTTCCTGCCCAGTTGACTTGTGGCGGGCGGGCCGTTTTTCCAATTTCGGAGTCTACGGTTAAAGCAGCGGTGTAAGAGTCGTCGGCCCTTTCAAATGCTGTACCCTCTCTCGCAGAGGCGCGCACATTTCAACCGCAACAAGGAGCGCGTCGAGAAGATCGTGCTGCGCCACCGGCGGGAGAAGGTGGCGCTCTCCAACGCCGCGGCGGTGGCCATCCAAGGAGCCACACGTGCCCTGATCCTGCGTCTGGACGGGTTGTGCAATGCTGCCCTTGACACTGCAGAGGTACAGGAGGCGCCCCCGCCCGCCACGCCACCTCGCCCGGCGCCGATGACGCGGCCGGCGAGTGTCTCGCCGGCGACGTCCATCTACACGCCTCCCACGGCCAAGAGGACCGTGCGGCGCGTGCTCTCGCGATCGGAGATGGCTGTACAGGCACTCGGCTCACGGCACGGCATGGCGGTCATCGCGGTCGAGGAGGCCGTGGGACCGGTCGAGTCCTACCCGTCGCGCTGGAACTACGACGTCCAGACCCTCATCCGCTCGAAGGCCCTCGACTACAACGGCCGGTTTGTGCTCCTGACGTGGCTGGTCGCGGAGGGCTGCTCGCCGGTGCTCGTCGTCGAGCTGACGCCGCCCACCTGCCTCCGCCGCTCCGCCTCCGCCTCGAGCGCCGCGCGCGTCTCCTCCTTGACCTCGTCGTCCTGCTTGACGCGCCGGATCGTTGCCGTTGGTGATCGGCGCGACGAAGCGGTTGCGGAACTCGGGCACCGAGCCGAGCAGCGCGGGCCGCACGAAATCGACCATCGCGTGGTACTCGTTCAGGTTGTTCTGCAGCGGCGTGCCCGTGAGGATGACGCGCCTCGGGGATGACGCGCCTCGGGCTCGGCGAGCAGCTCGGCCGACGGGCGCGGCGCCTCGTCCCGCAGCGACCACAGCTCGGAGAGCTCGGCCTGCGAGAAGGAGGTGGCGATCTGCTCGTCGTCGTGAAAGAGGTGTGTGTGATGAGATATTTGATGAATACAGGTGCAGAGGCAGAGAGGGTGCGGGAGAGGTGGGTGGTGACGTGGCACCACTCCCGGGGTGGAACTAGCTCAATTAAATCTGAGGCGGCGGTGGGCGGGTGCTCCTGCCTCCCTCTCGGGGACAAGCTCAAATCTCGGCGAGATTCTCCGAGATATGTCCGAGTTTACTGTACAAGCGCCAGCAGCGCCGCAGCAGGCGCCTGTGATCTCGTGCGATCTCGACAATTAATACTTAATTGCCTCTCTCGATCTCGATACATGCCTCTCTCAATCAAATATCTCATCACACACACCTCTCTCGCCCTCCGCTCTCTCAGCTCCGCCGCCTCCGCCGCCTCCAAGCGCCAGCAGCGCCGCAGCAGGCGCCTGAAAGTGTGATCTCGTGCGATCTCGATAATTAATATTTAATTGCCTCTCTCGATCTCGATACATGCCTCTCTCAATCAAATATCTCATCACACACACCTCTCTCGCCCTCCGCTCTCTCAGCTCCGCCGCCTCCGCCGCCTCCAAGCGCCAGCAGCGCCGCAGCAGGCTCCGCCGCCTCCGCCGCCTCGGCCACTCTGATGACGCGCCTCGGGCTCGGCGAGCAGCTCGGCCGACGGGCGCGGCGCCTCGTCCCGCAGCGACCACAGCTCGGAGAGCTCGGCCTGCGAGAAGGAGGTGGCGATCTGCTCGTCGTCGTGAAAGAGGTGTGTGTGATGAGATATTTGATCGCCGCCGCTGTCGTCGCCCTCGGAGCCGCTGGTGTCGTCCTCCTCGACGACGAAGTCGTCCATCGAGTCGTAGCCCGAGGCCTCGCGCTTGGAGCCCGCCGCGCCCTTGGCGTCGACGCAGCGGTAGAGCGTGGCGGGGTGGTTGAAGATCTGCTGCATGGTCTCCCTGTTGCAGCGGGCGCAGCTACAGGTTGCTCCCACCGTTGTACGCGGCTGGGTTCCAACTTTTTCCGGGGTATGGTATGGTACCTGCCGGCCCAAAGGGGGGGGGGGGGGTTCTGATCATGACGCAAGGCTAACCTAACAGACCCCAAGCAGGTCTTCCAAGAGGCGGGGGGCGTATGGTCTCGAGGTGGGTTCACGGCAAACCATCGACTGTTGCCGCACGAACGATGCGAACGCGCTCGCGTTGGCTGCCCGCAAAAGAAAGAAAGAAAGCAGACACCCCAGGGGAGGGATGGGCTTGGCTGCCCGAGAAAGTTTCCCTGTTGCAGCTCCAGTTTGCTCCACCGTTTACGCGCGCTGGGTACACACACACACAAATGGGTTCCAACTTTTTCCGGGGTATGGTATCGCACCCTGAGTGTCTTGCTGTGGTGCATGACGCCAGCGGAGGCGGAGCAGGCAGCGGCGGCAGAGGGCTGCACCGCGACGGCGGAGGAGGGTGCGCTGCTGTACGCGCGCGAGCTGGGAACGGAGGCGTCAGCAGCAGCGGCGGCAGCGGCGGCGGCCGAGTCTATGACGGCGGCGGAGGCGGAGCAGGCAGCGACGGCAGAGGGTTTGACACTGGTGCGCTCGTCGCGCTCCAGCACCGGGTTCGAAGGCGTGTACGCAAAGTCGAAACGCATCGGCTTTGCGGTGAGCCGCAGGGTTGATGGTAGAATGCAGCATATTGGCTGCACCGCGACGGCGGAGGAGGGAGCGCTGCTGTACGCGCGCGAGCTGGGAACGGAGGCGTCCGCAGCAGCGGCGGCAGCAGCGGCAGCGGCGGCAGCGGCGGCAGCGGCGGCAGCGGCGGCAGCGGCGGCAGGGGCGGCGGAGGCGGAGCAGGCAGCGGCGGCAGAGGGCTTGACACTGGTGCGCTCGTCGCGCTCCAGAAGCGGGTTCGAAGGCGTGTACGCAAACTCGAATGGCAACGGCTTTGCGGTGAGCCGCAGGGTTGATGGGAGAAAGCAGCATATTGGCTGCACCGCGACGGCGCAGGAGGGTGCGCTGCTGTACGCGCGCCATTTTGGCGCGGAGGCATCGGCTGCGACCGATGCAGCGGAGGACGAGTACGCGGGACGCCAGGCGGTCGAGATGTCGAATGCAGCCGTAGAAGGGAGTAGAGAGGCACAACCAGCGACGGCGTCAAGGACGCGGCCCAGGCACAAGCTCATCCACGGACGGCGCGTGCAGCGGCTGATGGGTCTGCCCGCCGAGATACACGCCCTCGTGCTCGAGCACCTCGCAGCCAGCGCGCCGCCGGCCAGCTTCGTGGCGTGCGCCGCCGCCTGCGCTGCGCTCTTGGAGGTGTACATGCGGCACCGCGCTCAGCTCTGGTGCTCTGCGCTCAGCCGCCGGGTTCGCCTCCAGGGTGCCCTGCCCGGTGTTCAGCGCGACTGGCAGGCACTCTACCGCGCATTACTCGGCGGGCGCGACGGGCTCGAGGCCAAGGGGTGGGCGGACGACAACAAGCTCGACAATGCGGACGAGATGCGCCACGCGTGGTGGCAGGCCGACGCGCTGGCGTTCAGCGCCGCCAACGGGCTGGTGCTCGTGCGCTATCGCGGGTACGAGGACGAGGGTGAAGACGAGTGGAGGCCACTCACGCAGCTGCGCCCTTACGAGGAGCGGCCCTCCGCATTGTGGCGCTCGACGAAGCGGACCAAGGGTGAGGCGGTGGAGGTGGCATGGGCGCCGCCAGACCACCCCACTGCTAGGTGGGAAGCCAAGGTGATCGCGGTCCGCGCACGCAAGGCGAAGGTGCGCTTCCTCGGATTTGACGCGAGCTGGGACACCTGGCTCCCGCATGACTCGGACGAACTGTTCCCGGCACGGGCGGGGATTCCCTCCAACCCGTCAACTTAGACGCTGTTTGTGGCCCTGTACACGTGGGTCGGCGCAGCAGTGATGATGGGGACGTCAAGAGCCTCCATCCCGTCTGCCATACGTGCGTGCAACTCTGATCTCTGAGCCCAGGGCTGAGCCTGACCTCGGAGTGTGAACGCTGAGATGTCAACCGTTGACATCGTCTAAGTATTTGTTTTTTTTTATTTTGCGGATGCGGTGGCCGGTGCGTGGAAAAAGAATTTACATTTTCCCGCTCTCACAAAACACTCTGCTGGGCACGGCGCTTCGGCGGGAGAAGAATTTGACGACGCAACTCCCTCGCACAACACTTGGCACGGGACTGGCAAAACAAATTGCTAAAAATCTCTCACTGTGTGCTTTAAGTGCGGCTGAAAACATAATCAATTGTTTTTTGAGCCCCTACGCCCTCGGGACGCGCACCGCGCTACTGCTCCCGGGCCAGGGGTGTAAGGGAACACACTAGGGCACACCAGGGCCGGTCTAGCCAGCCCTATCCCGCCCACAGCCTTCGAAAACGCACAAAAATCGCACCGCCGGAGCCGCGGCGAATCGCTACCGGAGGCCGTGTGTCGCGCCACCGACGGCCGCACGACGCACCCCCGGCTCCGCGCCGCTGGTTTGAGCTCTGGAAGCCAGCCACCTCCGCCTGCAAAGACTCTGGGTGGGCATCTTCCGCAGTGCGAGCCGTCGCGTGTGCGCCGCAGCTGTGCATGTCGAGCGTCTCCTTGAGATTGACGAACGCCTGCCGGACGGCCGTGCGCAGCTCGCCCCAGCTCGTGCGATGGCCGATGCAGGCGCCCTCGTCGCGCAGCTCGGTGCGGACCGACTCGGACCGCTCCTCTTGCCGCGCGGTCTGTTCGGAGAGCAGCCTGAGCTGGCGCTCGTCGGCGTCGAGCTGGCTGGCCTGCTCACGCAGCGCGTCGGACGGGCTTGGTGGTGGCGGCGGCGGGCTCGGAGGGCTCGACGGCAGAGGGCTCGGGGTTGCAAGGTGCGTGCGCGGCCGGCGTCGGGCCGGTGGGACGGGGTGGAGCTCCCTCTGTGCTCTTGCGACGGTAGCCGAACAGCCAGCCCAGCCAGCTTCCGCCCCCGCGCCCCTCGGTCGGCTGCGCGGAGGTGGGCGGATCGTTCACGCGACCCGCCGCCGCCGCCGCCGCCGCCACCTCGGGCACCGACGGGGCCGAGGAGTCCGCACCGGTGCGCGCGACCTTTTGTCGGCCTCCGTGATCCGGCGTGTACGGGGACGCGCCCTCCTGCAGCAGCTTCCGCTTCGCCCTCACGCCTGCCTCACTGAGCTTGCGTGACCAAGCGTAGACCTCGTTGTTGCAGTGCAGCTCTGAGTGCTTCGAGTTGCCGCCGGGCGACGTGATGATGCGATGCGCGACCGGGCAATGGAGCTTGCGCGCCTTTTCCCCGAGCAGCACAGCCACCTTTCCCTCGAGCACCGCATTCCACTCCTTGTCTCTGCCAAGATAGCGGGCATGCTCGTACAATGTGTCATACGCACCTGGGGTATCGCCTGCCAACTCCTTGCACCTGTCGCGCAGCGCTTCTGGCACCCCTCCACGTCCGTCAACTTTGGCCGGCATGCCGCACGGCCGCCGCGGCCGAAGCTCGCCCGATCGGTTGTCCAGCGCAACTGACACTCTCCGCTTGGCGCCAAAATTTCTCCGGCCACGTCTTTCCGGCGGAAAACCGGCCTCGCAATTCTTTATTCCGGTTAGAATTCGACACGTCCGCCGTCGCGAGGAGGCCGTGTGTCTCTTCCGTTGCTGGTAAGTCTCTCCGTTCTCGCCGGATCCTCTCGGCTGCTCTCGGCTCCTCTCTCTCGGCTCCTCTTGGCTCCTCTCGGCTACCTCTCGGCTAATGGAGTTGTGTAGTCAGTCAGTGTTACACACGTCCTACTGACGTAGCATGGACGACGCTCGACGGGGCACACGCACTCGCGGAACACAGGGCATTATACACACGAGGCGTCGGGCGGGCGGGCGATCGGGTGCCCCAAGCCTAACATGACGTTTTGGCCGCAGCATCCGCACTGCGCTCGACAAGTTCCACATCGACCGCTCGAGGTGGCCCGAGCTCGCCGCCGATCGCTCGGCCTGGCGCCAGACGCTGGAGTTGTGTACTAGGTAGTACTCTGTGCGGCCATCTGATTGTGTGTACATTTCTTCTCTCTTGAGAGAGAGTTGTTTTCTTTAAATTCTTCTCTCTCTCTCTGTACAATTCTTTTTGCTTTGCCTGATCTACACGGCGAGCCACATCTGCCCGTGGTCAGACGGAAACCGGTGATGCAGAGGCGGCGGTATTCGTGGACTAGCTGCTCCCTCCCCATAGCCCGGACCTCCCTCTAGCACGCTTGACACTCCGTTT